CTAGCCTCTATCAAATGTGCAAGATGGTTTTCTTACGATGCCTGAACTAGCCTGGTGGTGCTGTAAGATAATACTTGGACTGCAAAACAAAAGGTTGGCAGTTCAAACCCACCAACTGTTCTGCAGAGGAAAGATGAGGCAGTTTTTGGGGCACTATGGGCAGTAATTGACTTGGTAGCAGTGGGTTTGACTGTTCGGCTTTGGGGTATGATCCCCATGTGAATCTCTGAGTGACGTCAAGTGTCTCGTGTGTTTGACTGCTAACTGAAAGTCTGAGTAAACCCAGAAGAAGTCTGTTAATCTACCTCTAAAAATCAGCCATCGAAACTTTTGTAGATAGCCATCTTCACCAGGAGTCAGAATTGATTGGACGGATATTGGTTTTTGTGATGTGCAGCCTGAAAACCTTTTCCAGACCCTAAGGGTCTAGTTTGAACACGTTGGCAGGAGGCTCCAGACCCTGGAGAAGAACCTCATCTTAATAAAGTAGGTACAAAAAGACCCTCCGTAAGATGCGTGGATACAGTGGTTGCAACAATGGGCTCAAGCATTGGAACAATTGTGAAGAGGTTCTGCTCGGGGCAGGGTTTCACTCTGTTGTGCATAGGGCTGCGATAGTTCTCAATCAACTTAATGGCATCTAACAGCAAGTGTCCAACACTGCTGCCATGTTTCCCAACCATGTCATCACGCGCTTTTAAAAAATCCCATCACGTTGCCCTGTGTTTTGTTTTTCCCAGTGCTGGATTTACACATACCCACAAACACACACAAGAACTTGGCTGACTGAATTCCATTGCTCAAGTCCCAAGGTGAAACATCAGCGAAGACAGTGATGGCAGTGTGGATTCTCCAAGGGAGCCGTCACAGTCTGTCAATAGATGGAGAGTGGTCCGGCAGACAGAGCTCCGGGGACCATCTCTACAGACGATTGTACGCTCGCTCCTCAGAAGACCCGTCCCCTAGACACAGAGTCCAGAAGAGCTTCTTTCTGGTCGCTCACCTCCCCACTTCCCCGTGTTCTGCACACTCACATACACACAGCCCCTTCGGTCTTCGGTCCAGATGACCTTGCATGGGTGGCTAAACTTTGCTGCTCCCTCAGCTCAAGTTTCGTTTCAAGCTCGTTGTGCAGCAGGGGCGTAGGGCACAGAGGATGGGAAACGGCACAACTAGACGGTTTGCAGCTGCTTCCAGCTGCTACAGAGTGCCTATTTCTCCTTAGAGGCACCAGAAGTTCCAATACACAGATCCCTCTACATCGGATGAAAACCACAAGGCACTGATAACTGGAGGTCAAAACCTTCAAATGTTGATAAAGTCAGGGAGAACGAAGTCTAAAACTCCAAGGTGAGCAATTTGCCTGTATGCAACAACGTAAAATATATTTAGCACTGCCTTATTTTCTGCTGGAATTTCCCAGGCTTATTAAAGAAAATGAATTAAAATATGGGAACTATACATAAGCGATTGAATAATGATCATGTAGCAAAATAGCAGAGTGAAGTATTACAGTAACCAGGTATGTATCCCTCTCTCTCTCTTGCAACACACACACGTATAAAAACTCAGTGCTGTCTAGTCAAGTTCATAGACTCATAGCAACCCTACAGGACAGAGGAGAACTGCCCTTGTGGGTTTAGAGACTATAACCCTTCAAGGAATATAGAGCTTCACCTTTCTCCCTTGAAGTGACTGCTGGTTTTGAGCCATTGACTCTGAGGTTAGCAGTACAATACGTAGCCCTCTCACCACCAGGGCTATTTAAATATTTTATGAATAAGGGTCTTTGGGGTAAGTCAAACACTTACACACAATCACACACATATTTGTTTACCAAAAAAGAAAAGAAAACAAAAAATCATAAATTCACTGTCATCAAATCAATTCCAACTCATAGCGAACCTATAGGCAACTAGGATATCGCAAATCAATCTGAATACAGTAATTGTATTTTTCAATGCTTTAATATAACAAATTCATTTTCTCTACTTTTACTACAAGTTTGTTCAAATGGCAAACCTCCTGCCATCAGAGTTGATTTCAACCCAGAGCAACCCTATTCTGGGTTTCTGAGCCTGCGGATTTACAGAAGATGCTGGTGGGTTTGAACCACCGACCTTGTGGCTAGCAGTCCAACACCTAGCCAACAGCATCGTTATAGCAAAATAGCCAATGACTCTATTCTGAAGACACAATTAATAAAGCATTTCGTTTACTTTTTTCTTCGTAAGGGGAATTTCCTGAAGGCTCCTGACAGTTTGGCATTTCTTCCTCCCAAACTCATTCTTCATACGAATTCCTTCGACCTTCCTCAGCTGGAGAAGGCTTCTATGTTGGGGCAGTAGGGGGCACTGTTACAATAAACTATCATAAAAAATGAGAGCTTCCAAAGGACAAACAAATAGATAAGCTTAGGTATTTCAAGATTCTCTCATGTCAGTGAGCATCTAAAAATAACATATGGGTTTTTATATTCCATAATTTGCTTCGGTGTACAAATAACAGAATCTGTGTGTGTATGACCAAAAATAGAAACCCTGTATTGCAAATTTTAACTTATTGTGGAAAGTCTAAGTAATCATTCGTGACTTTCTATGAGGCAGATTCCACCCCTAGCCCCTGAGTGAAGACTTCAGTATTTCTTACCCAACACCAAACTCTAAGTTTAAAGCTAAGAAGAAAGAGAACTATGGGGGGAATTTTGTTTAAAAATCACACAATCTGTATGGATTGGGATAACAGTTGTATGAGCCCCTAATAAAATGTTAAAAAAAAAAATCACACAATCCAGGTTCCATAGATAGATTTTCTTTTAAATCAGAGTTTATTGTTGAGTGAAATGTATGCCTTCATTTTTTTAATGCCAATGATTAAACAAAGACATTGCTCCAACTCTTAGAAAATTAAATGCCCCAAACCATGTAGTCTGCTGGGCAGTTATTTTTGTAACACCATACATTGCTTTACAGGACCCTTCTGCTGGAGTAAATAATCCAATGGAGATTTACTTTAGCGCCTGCATCCAGTTTCCAAAGGAAACAGTGACCTAAAGGTTTATGACTCTCTTTCCCTCCCTTTGCCCCCTTCTTGCTGTGGGTTAAGACTGTGTCCCTGCTTTATGTGGAGCCCTCCTGCTCTTCCCTGAGCCCAGAACGGTTCCTGGAAAGCAGACCCAGGGCAGTTTGATATACTGGGCTCTCAAAATCAAACACCCATTTCTGGAATGAAAGGAAACAATCGTACTTTGTGGGAATCAAAGTGTATCTGGCAAAATGAAAATAGAGAGTTTTCGTCCTAAGCATTTCACCATATTTAACAGCATATCAGAGTCAACCTTGGTCTCAGATGTTTCGGCAGTCAGCTTGAGATGTGTTCACTTACAGCACGGTAGGAGACCAATTCAATGCAAACTTCTACAGATAAGGGTTTAGAGGTCTTTAATCACTTCTTTCTTGTGTCCTTGATGGAAAAACAGAGCTGCCTTTGTGTGAAAAAGAAGGACCTGTTGTTCCCAAATCCAACAGGTCATTTTTATAAGAACTTCCCAGAGGATACAACATAAATGACAGAAACACCAGAGGATTTTTTAAGTGGCTGATGATTTTCAATGATATATAGACTATATTGAGGGGTGGCTGTTTGTTTTTCTTTCCAACAAATGGAAAGTTACTTTTAAAGCCTGTGTTCTCCTGAGCTGGGTTGCTGGGACTTCTGCTTCTGAAATCTGAGTGTGTGCCTGATTCCTCAAATAAGTAAGTAAATGGTGTCCAATCCCACCCACTGCTGTTTGGGGTGTGTATGTGAATTTACAGGGCTTTTAAAATAGATCTAAAGTGTATTACAACTTTTGTAATATTGCTTCAGTTCAAATAATAAAAAGAATAGTAAGTACGAACGAACAAGCTAACACTTATCAAATGAAAAATTCTGGAATATAATTTTCCTTGTCCTCTAGAGGCAAAAAAGCCAACATTTTAAGTAAAACAAATTTCAGGCAACACTAGGATTTACTGGAGTTTGGCTTCTTTTATTCTTAAGGGTGGTCTAGATTTGAGAAGACAAATAGATTGAGATTAAAGTCATAAACTTGTTTCCTTAACTTTATTAACAGTGGTTCCTCCCCTCCATAATCTAGCCCAAGGTCCTTTTTCCCCCCTCACTCTTTCCCCTGCGCCCTCCCCTTGCAAGTATACCAACTCATTTGTAAATAGAACTCTTTAAAGTTCTTTAGAAAAGTTTCTGCCAGGCCAATGGCAAGAGTTCATTTTCTCCATAACTATTGAAAGCACTTTTCAAACTCATCCCTCGGCCCATATAAAAGTGATTACCAAGGCAGGGTTCTTTAAAACAGAGGTTTAGTTACTGGCTCTTGCTGAATGTCTCATATATTTCCCAACGACCCAAGCTCTGGTTTGACACTTTTACTAAGTCTCTATATTACTTACCACCTAAGACAACTGCCTGGCAACAGGTCAAGGTAAATAAATAGTTGGTGTGAAAGACTATTAACCACAGGGAATTGCCCAAAAGATACAGAAGAAATGAACATGGAGTTTCCTTAGAAAAGGGATCAACCACGTGTACACACACACACACACACACACACGCACGCACGCACGCACGCACACACGACATGATGAACGGGTTTCTAACTTAGATGGAACTTTTTTCCTTAACCAACGGACTTGTATCTGTTTACGGAAATGGGAGCGAGAGAAGAAGAAAGAGAGAAGACTGGCTATTCTGGAGAATGGGGAAATACAAACCTTAAAGCCAAACGTTCCCTCACGCCCCTCTTCCACCACGTTCATTTCCCGGGAAGAAGATATACTAGTGGATGCCTCAAGCTTAGAACCAGCACCAACTAGCTATTATCTTTGCCTTCCTCTTGAGGTGGGAATGAAGGTGAAGTAGGAGTCATGAAGGCCCTCCCAAGACCCCCCAATCCCTGCCGCGCGTTTGGCTCCCCCCACCCCCCTAGTCCTGCGTCTGCTCACCGGTACCAGGCGAGGCCCTTGTGGTAGCTGCGGTCGAAGAAGTGGGGCTCGGCGCCCACGGCGCGCACGTCGGGGTGCACGCGCAGGAACTCCAGCAGCGCCCTCGTGCCTCCCTTCTTCACGCCGATGATGATGGCCTGGGGCAGCTGCTTATCGCCTTCGTCCAGCAGCAGTGCCAGGGTCCCCGGCGGGCTCTCGGCCACACTGCTCCCAGCCCCAGAGCCGCCAGGACCCCCGGGCAGACCGGGGGACTCCTCTTCCCAAGCGGCCTCCTCGCCATCCGCCTCGCTGGGCGGCGCAGGCGGCCTGCGCCACCGCCAGGGCTGCAGCCGCAGGAGGCGCTTTCTCCGCGCCCCCGCGGGCCACCGCGCCAGTTCGCTTGGGCGGCCGGCCAGGGCGCCGCGCCCCGGGGCCGCTGCCCCCTCGCTGCCCACGACGGGGCTGGACAGGGGCTGGCAGCGCTCGGCCAGGCAGTAGGCGATGTAAAGGGACGTGAGCAGGGAGCAGAGCATCAGCAAAAACTTCCGGAAGATGCTTCGGGACAGCGGCTCGGCCGAGGTGGGCTGGGCGCCGGCGGGGCCCGGCGGGGCCATCCTAGCCCGAGGCGTCGTCTGGCCGCGCGCGGGCCATGCTAGGCCGAGACTCCGCCAGGTGCCACGACCTGCCCCGGGCGGGCCTGAGCGCTGGATGGGGGCCACATCGCCAAAGCGCCCTGGTGGCCTTGCGGGCTGTCAGGGAGGCGGCGTCCGGGGCTCCTCGTGGGGCAGCGGGGGAGGGAATGAAACCCGGGAGCCCCCGCGTAGGACTCCGGCCTCCGATCGCGGGGCGGGAGAGGACGCGGGACCGTGCTTAGGAAACCATGGTCTCGGAGGCGCCCAAGTTTTCAGTGCCCCCGGGCAGCGCCTGGCGCCTCTGTCCCCCGAGCGCAGCCAGGATGGGGTCTTAGCGCTGGAGATGGCGTGCGTCTCCGCCCGGCCCGAGTGGCCTCACAGCGCTGATCTCCGCTCAAAGGTCCTGCCGCACTGGCTCGGTCCCCGCGAGGGGTGGCGCCGCTCCGGGGTCTTTGAGCTGCGTGCGCTCCTGGAAGCAGCGAGCGACTGCGCTCCAGCCCCGCTGTCTCTAGTTCCCCCTACCCGCCACCCCCGGCCGGCCGGAGCGCACCCTGTGGGACGGGCTCCGGTCCTTCTTGACGCGGCTGCCAGGTGGCCTGAGCCCCGCTGCCTTCGAGGGGGACCGCAGGCCCGCGCCGGGCCAGCCACCCCTCTCCATCCGCTCCTGGCCGCTCCAGGGAGCTCTCAGACCCCACCTGTGAGCGGCGCAGCGGAGCCGGGTGCCCGGGAAGCTGTCAGAGGCAGCGGCCACTGGGTGGCTGGCACTCTGCGCCGCCTCCCGGCCCCCGCCGCCCCCGTCACCCAGGGGGCGCGGAGGACAGCAAACTTGGAGTGACGTCAGTGGCCCAGGCGCGAGCAGCCCCAGAGGCTGGCGGGGGGGTGCAGACCGAGGCGCAGGGGCCGCGCCAGCCGGCGGGCGGGATGGATTGGGGACGCGGGTGCGGTCCCGCAGCTGCAGCCCAATAGCACGGGAGAGGGCGGGGGCAGCCTGAGGTGACGCCCCTTCCCCGCTTGTCCCAACCCGGGCAGTCTCGCCCCTGGAAGCGGAAAACTGGGCGGCGGCGATCAGGGGTGTCGCGGGGACAGCTCGGACCGCCTAGGTGCCTGGTGGCCTAACTTGCACCTCGGGAGCCCTTCACTGGAGTTGGGGCTTCCCCAAGCTCCCCACCTGGGCTCCGGCCTTCGCAGCCCTGAGCTCTGCTGGCCCCCAGCTTCAGTTTCCGCAGCCACCTACTATGGCCTTGAACTCCTCCTCTAGGCTCCGAATCTTTGCAGGTTTTGTTCTCGTGGTTTCCTGGACCGCGCTGCTCGCCACGCCCCCATTTGTCTGGGACCCCGGAATTTCTCCGCTCTGCTTGGACTTCTCCTCGCTACCCAACTGTCTGCGCAGAGAGAAGCCCCTTCTCTCCCAGCTGCCCTCCCTTTGCTTGCTTGCCTTTGAAAGTTTAAGATGATCGAGACTCCCTCAGGACTAGGATGGACAGACTTCTTAGGATATAAAGTAAAAAATAAACCAAGGGGAAAGATGACGATTAAAAAAAAGTCCATATTAATGTACCATAAAAGTTATTGGTTCGAATGTATTAAAGTTCGGCAATCACCACTACAATCCATTTCAGAACATTCTCTGCAATGTTACACTCTTTTCTTGCTTGCATTAGTATGTGCGGACGCGCGCGCGCGCCTCAGTCAGAACGTTCAATGTCCTTTCATAAAAAGCAGTTTCCTTTCTCTTGCCGCCTCCGACCCGACATCCTCTCCAAGTTCCCAGGAGAGCTGCTCAGAAGGGGATACAAACGCCATGCTGGTTCAGGGGGCAGGGGTGGGTGGGGGTGGTCCTACAACTGGCATGGTGGGGGGGCTTTTTTTGTTTGTTCTGGAACGATTCGTTCCTTATTTCTTCACTTTCTACTCTCTGCGAGTTGCCTCACTTGGTGGCCATTATACACCAACCAGAGTAAGTTGTCCGCACAGCTTTCCGGACACAAGATGGGAGCTAACCAGGACCCTGCTGCTAGCACAGCGTCCGGTTTGCAGGAAATTCAGACTTCCTGCTGCCAGCTGTTGGAGCCTCACTGAACTGCCCCACTCCTAACTTCCTCTGCTCTATTTGACCTTGGAAACCAAGAAGCCCTTTTGAACTTCCTCAAGGGACCCAGTGGCTCTCACTCTGCTGAGCAGAGCTGGTATCTTGGCTCCCTGTTGGGCAAACACTGAGCTGCCAACCACAAGTGAGTGAGTTGATGGGCAGTTCAAAACCAACTGCTCAAGATGTATGGACGCGGCACCTCTACTGGGAGCTGGAATATATCTATCTATCTATCTATCTATCTATCTATCTATCTATCTATCTAACTACCCACCATCCATCCATCCATCCATCCATCCATCCAACTACCCACCTACCTATCTATTATTCAGATTGACTGGCAGGATTGGGTTTGGGTTTTGTTGTTGGGGTTTTCGTGTGTTTTTGTTTGGGGGGTGGGCAGGACAGTTAAGTGCTTGACTGCCAGGGTTGTATCCCTAACCCAAAAGGTTGGTAGTTCCAATCCATCCAGAGGGTCCTAAGCAGAAAGGTCTAGCAATCAAAAGGTCACATCTTTGCAGACGCTATAAAGAGCTGTTTGACTGTGCAACTCAGGAGGCTGTGCTGCTTGGGAATGGGCTGGAAACAACCCACTGGGAGATGGACTGATGGCTAGACAATCGTGTCATGCTTATTCGAGACCAGTGCGGCCTGTTCCACTATTCACCGGCGCTGAGCCGATTTGATTCCGATGTTAGAAAGCACTGGGCTTTTAAAAAGATGAACGGCAAGTCTTGCCAAGCCTTAATGCTTCTGTGTGTCCTAAAATTGGATATCGACGAACCAGTTGAGTTTTAATACTAATTTCAGCTTTAGTATCTTTCTTAAAACCTCGTCATGATAGCCTGGTCTGATTTGTAGATGGAAGATCAAATTTTATTTTAAAGACACTTTAAAGTTGCTCTGATAGCATGCCACCCCTAAACGCTTTCACATGTGCCTCAGTTTCTTCATCTGGAAAGGGCAGCCGAGTTTCCTTCCCACATAATAGCTGTTGTGTTGCTCTGATTCCTGTTCGGAGCCAAGTTCCTTTGCTGTCGAGAGCTGCTGTGAGGCACAGGCTGTCTTGCCGTTCGCAATCCTGTGCACAAGAGAATAAAACATTGTTTCTTGTGGATCACACTATCATAATCCCTGAGGCTTTTTATTGACTGATTATCAGAAGTAGATTATCAGGCCTTTGTCCTAATTCATCTTAGTCTTGAAACTTGTTCATCCTCATTAACAATGCGCAAGCCAGAGCTGATGGGCAGTGAAATACTATGGCTGAGCATGAAGTAATGGCTGAACAGGAAGTACTATGGCTGGGAATTGAACCTGGGTCTTCTACATGAAGGTGGAAGGTCTAGCCTTGAACCACCACGGCCTCCTGTGAATCCGTAGGTCGATATCAAAGACCCACACTGTGAGGAGCACAGCCAGAGGTTCCTGAGAAGAGCAGGTGACTAGATCTCATCTCATGTCCTTTGAGTCTGTCACTAGGAGGGATCAGACCACGGGAAGAACACCATGCTTTGTAAAATAGAGGGTCAGCAAAAAAGAAGAGGAAGTCGCCCAGTAAGAAAGATTTGGCCCAGTGGCTATGATAATTGGCTGAAATAACTGGTGCAGGATAGGGCAGGACTTGGTGGGCAGTGTTTCATTCTGTTGTGCATGGGATTGCTATGAGTTCAGTTGGAAGCCTCTCGATAGTTCCTGACAACATGGGTGAGACACAGTTTTCAGGATTGTTCACGTAATACATAGGGTAGCACTATACAATAGATGTGAACTGTGAGCCACATAGATAATTTTTAAATCTCTAGTAGCTAACTTTATAAAGTAGAAAGAAACGGATAAGAATAATTCTAATAGCATGTGGGTGGATGCTCAAAAGGTTTGTAGGAAATCACATTGCCTTTTATTTTCATTTTTTTCCATGAACGTTTGAAGACGCTTCATGTATCCAATATAGTAAGAGCTGGAACTGGACTGGGTCTCTCAAGTTTTTCGAGAGGGCGCCGTTAGACCACGTATCTATGGCATATTTCAGCAGAAAATACATGAACTTTCCTTCTCTGACAGGTTTCTGCTTTATTATATACAGGTTCTGGCTTTGGCAGGTTTTACTGGGCAGTAAAGCTTCAATTCTGAAAACCACATTTGCCAAAGGCTACGGATGAAGGTCAGGTAAATCTATTTGCCAGGTCTTCAGGAGGATTAAGCCTCCATTGACTTACTTCTGGATGTAGATCATTTTGTCCTCTGGCAGCGTGCATGGGATTGCTCCAGGCACTCTCCCTCCGGCCCCCGGAGGGCAGTCACTCTTGGGGGGTTTGGTTGGTGTGTCCTTGAGGGAGGTCACCATAATGGAAACAGTTGGGGGGTCTGGTGGGTTGGCATGACCTTAGTTAGAAGGCCCTGGACCAGTCTTGTAAGCTCTTCTGTCTAACATAATGTACGCTTCCCCGACTCATCGTCCTCTTCCAGTCCTCTAGTCCCACCTATAACTGTTATGCATTGATCTGCCACCAGTCATGAATTCGTGACAGTTTCCTTTGGACAAAGGCATAGACATGCCTCATTTAACCTTCGTCCTGATTGTGAATACTCAGATGCCACCTGACCTTGTGCTAATGGCCTCCTTCTCTAGATGATGGGTTTGGGTCTTTGTGTTGTCTTGGTCCCTTTTAAGACTTAATCAATGTTCTCCTTGAATTATATTTGAGATTTGTCTCTTTTTATATTTTATATTTATGGTCTGTTTTGTACCACAAAACAACTGAATATCTAAAAAATATGATTTCATTTGTAATCAAAATCAGATTATTGAGATAGTTTACACTTTCTTTCACACCAAGACTTCAACATCCATTGTATCTAACAATATAATAATCTCTATTGTGACCAGCTA